ACTCTTGCTGCACAAACTCTCGTCTCCCTGAGTTTGTAGGTTATAAGGCTAATGCAAACCAGGGAAAGCAATACAATATGACATGTGCGTGTGTGCGGTGTCCGGTGTAAAACAGGGAGACAGAGAGGATGCAAAAAATATTTTTGCATTCAAACTACACTATACTTAGATTTTCTTGATGACTACACATGTTATTTAAATGACTTGCACATTTTTGAATACAATACCCATCTCTTACATACTAATAGACCCAACTTCATTAAAATAAATTCCCATCCTTCCCTGATTTATTGCCTATTCAGTTAAACTGTATCTCACCATGTAAAAAGAAAAACCCTATCAGGGGAAATATATAACACAATTACTTCAAAGGCTTCCCAACACAAAGCAACATGAATGCAGGACCGCAAACAACTCTAAACGGTTGTAGTCCCAACATGGTGGCTGTAATATTTCTTAATTGGGTGATGGAAATCACAAAGGCCTTTTGTTTAGCTCCGTGCACCAACAACACTCCACACTCCTTCCTCTCTGACTCTTACTCACTCTCTCTTTCTCATTTGCATATTCATTGAGCTATCAATTATTTATTTCTCAACACAATGACTTGCTGCATTACTATGTGCCTCCATACAGTATAACATACCACTGTACGTGTTTTAATGAATAATACATAGGATAAATGGAATAAATCAATATGTAATAATACCAAATAACAGGATATTATAAAAAAATATAGATGTAGAAATATAAAAATATAGAAAGAAAGAAAGTAAGAAAGACACCTTGATTTGCATTTATTATTTAGGTTTTGTTCTTTTTATTCTGCTTGATATTAATTTTGAACAACAAATTCACGATTTTCAGAGGTTTATAATATAAATAATTGTTTCTTCCCATAACCATAATTAAACCAAAATATACGTACTTTAATTCCTTATTAAAATTTAGAACCTGCCTACATTAAATAAATTAGTTTAGAATATGTTTAACAGAGATGGAAATATAAAGATTAATGTTAAATGTAATTATTTTCAATCTTTTCCCTCACTTTCACCAGGTTGTAAATTTGATGCGTTTGCTCATCTGTGCACGCACACAAACGCACACATGCATCTTTACAACTGAATTGCTCTCTCCTCGCATGTAATATATGTATGTTTATATTAGAAGGTAGTGTATTAGGAGTGCATGCAAAGGTAAGAATAGGGCACAATATTTGAAAACCTCTCTTACAATAACCCAATTACCCCCCGAGACACATTCCCATTTACACACTTTCGCGCTTGTGAGCTGTTTTCTCATCGTATTATTATTATTGTAGGAAAACAATGAGATGACTAATCAAAATATAATTTCGGCAGTGCAGAGCAACTCTCACTACTACAGCTGCACCTCAACTAACTATATGACCTGAGGAAAAAAAAAATCATGGCCTCACCAGCCAATACTCTTTCTCCTTCAAGCCAGCTCGTACACAGACACACATAACCACACACATACTCTGACTCTCTCACGAATACACACACACACACACACACTCAGCAACACGCCATTGCCCGTTGCCGTAGCACAGAATAGATGACCGCACTTACTTTAAATGTCCCGTGAAGGAAAGTTTTCAGATTTTTTCTTCTCTCCTCCGCCTCCCTCAGACCTACTCCGCTCTCAGTGCTTCGGCAAAGAGGAGAGAGGAGCTCAGGGAAAGTGCTCCTGCCATAGGCAGCTGTTAGCCTCTCTTACAGATATCTATAGCTAAAAAAGCAGGTAGCTCTCTATCATTTTATACATTTTCCCTTGTATGGTCTTCTACCTTGCACGGATGCAGACTGTGCTCTCTGCATCTGGTTGCACAAGCACAATCAATATGGAAGGGGAGAGCTATTTTATGATTGGAGAAGTTGTTGTGTTTTTGGTGGTGAAATTCATTATTTAGTATCTGAACCTTCAGCAATTCAGTATCATTTATTCATAAAGTCCCTTTTTGCCAGGAGGAAATGGATACAGCTGCAGCAACCAAGAGAGAGAGGGAGAGAGAGAGGGGGGGGGGGAGGAGGGAGAGAGAGAAGTAAAGAAAGAGAACGAAGGGTAGAGATGAAGAGAAAGAACATACAGGGAGTGCGAGCAGGGGAGGTGGGTGGATTGATGATATTGATCAGGCACCTCTTGAAATAAAGGCATTGGGGCTCTATTTTTTCAAGCACTCATGATTGACAGATAAAGAGAGGAGATGGCTGGGAGGAGGAGCGGGCCTTGAACATCACAAGCGGCACTGAGCGATTAAAGGAGCTCTTCTGACAAGCACAGCGAGGCAGGCTCAAGCACACTACAGAGGCAGAGGGATGGATTGTGAGGAATCACTCGAAATGATGTTTGTTTACTTTGCAAAAACACAGGAGAAAGAACGCAGACAGTGGGAGAGTTGTTAAGTGGAGGAGTTGTGTGCGTGAAACAGCTTGCTTTGTATATTTGTTCCTCAGAAGCTGCAGCTATGGACCGTACAAATGCTGACTAATGTCGAAGCTGCTGCACCGTTCTTTGAAATAGAAAAAAAAAGAAATACAACAGCTGCAATAAAGGCGTACTTTAAAAAAAAAATAGCACTGCATTCTGTGAAAGTCTGAATCTACGGTGTGTATTATATTACAGAAATGAGAAGGGATGTATGACATCATTTACCATGCATTGTTTTTCCATGCCTTTTCTCAAACAAGGAAATTTGTCTGCACTCACAGAAAAGGGAAAAAGGTTTTTCATTGTCTGTTTTGTATTCTGTTCAAAATAAAAGCAATTTGAAAAGTGTTCCAAGTCTTGAATTATTTAGATTCAACTTAGTACAACACTAGCGCCAGAAATTGCTGAGATCCATCTCAGTCAGGCAGTAAAGAAAGAGGTGCACCTGTAGCTGCTGTGGCCTTTGGCTTCAGAGCTGCCGCTGGCTGCCATGACTTCCTGTTTTGTATGTGTGGGTGTTGTATGTTCATGTGCTTGTTTGTGCTTGTGTGTGTGTCTGTTGCTGCTTGTTTTCATCAGAATTAACGGTATTGGCAATGAATTATTAAATCATGTTGCTGTGTTACTTCAAATTTTATGAAAATTACAAATCCATGAGCCGCTTAAATTTAACTCAACTGAATACGTCTTTTTGATGAAGGCCACACTTAGAATCTTATGGCTGAACTGAAAAGTTGTGAGGATTGTTGCTCTTACTGATAACAAAAAAAATCTCTTATGCAGGCCAGACAAAACAAAATAATGTCATTAAGGCTTTTATTTCACATCCTTGTTACTACAGTACAACTCCTTATTTAATATGGTTCTTTGTTCTAATTACGCTGTGCAGCAACCTGCTAGGAAGGGGCTTAAATGTGTGTCAAACCTTTTTATTTCAGAATGTGAAACTCTAAAAGAACATTTATTCATTCATTCATTCATTGTCATAAATCCTTTTAGCCAAGGTGCCTGCCTATGTCCTGCTCCCCATTGTGGCTCCGTGGTGAGTTATAAAGAACAAAGTGGTTAGACGAAGGCTGCAGGCCAAACATGAAATGTTGAAACCTTTAGCAGGATGCATTTTATGTTCAGATTAGGATATGTTGGAGAGCCTGAGCGTATTGACACCAAATTACCGTCACCCAAAATGAAAGTTATTAATGTTCTATTTTGTTTAGTTCAGTGGTTATAGAAACTGTCAGAGTAAAAGAAATAAAGGTGAATACAAACACACAGGAAATCAGTATCACACCATAATGTTTGCACTACCATCATCACAACTTAAAATCCTCTTGCAAAAGAGGTACTATGCTTTTATGGTGAAGGAAAAAAATGGTACAGTACAGTGTGCTTTACAAGCCTGAAAAAAGCGTACTGAAATGATATACTGTAAGTCATAGCATAAATGCTAGGGAGTCAGTTAGAATCTAAGACTTACTGTTTAGTTTTTATTTTCCTATGAAATTACTGGCATTTTAGAGCCCTGCAAATTACCCAAGCTCTTAGTACTGTTTGTATTTTAAGACACAGATGTGTGAGTGAGATTGAGCCTCATCCACATTTTTATCCACGAGAAAAAAGTTCTCAACCAAGTATTAATAAAAATCTAAGTCAAATGTATAATGGCAGATAGAAGGAGGGAGTGGCGTTACATAAAGCACACAAATATTACAGACACACACAAAACTTTTGGAATGTTTGCTTACATCTCATTACGCATGTCTGTTAATATACTTTATTTTATATGACCACAAAAAATACTGATTAGTACTTTAGATATCTCAAATGGGGTTAAAGTAGAACATTTAATAAAAGAAACTGGGTTTCTTTTTCACTATCAATAGATGAGCCTCAGGGTTAAATTTTGTCTTTGTCCCTGTCTAATGGGATTGCAGCTTGTACCTGACAGGTGAACAGATTATTGAGTTAATGGACACAGATTTGTGAATTTAAACACACTTTATCAAAAGTCAAGACTTGGTCGGGGCAGGTGTTTGTTCCTGACATGTTTGTCACAGCATCCTTCATTTTAAGGGTCTACTTTTCATCTGTTTTTCTTTTTGGTAAATTTCAGTTAGTAAACATTTAATTTTAACGGGATGGTTAAAAAAATATTCAAGACCAAAATGTGCTATAAGATAAACTTTCAATTGCATCCAACTCACAAAAGAACTGTCATTTAGAGTTGCTGTACAGGTAATGTCTTAAAGTGTATTTCAGTGATATATATGTTTTAAAACTATATTAAACAGAATTCCCTTTGTCCTCTTAACGTGAAAGGCTATCCTTTGCAGAGTGAGGTTGACTTGATAAATGTTTTTTGCTGAACAAGAGCAAAATATATATTGATCAAAGGCCATAATACAGTAGATTAATAGAGCGGTCATGTGATTTTTTTTCAGTCTGTCTGCATTTTGATGCTCAGGGGAGTCTGCAGCCTTCTCACTGATGTCATAGATGGACTACAAGAGTAAGTTTATACAATGCTAAAGAAAGAAGCCATATTATGCCATCTGTTACCTCATAAAGCTGAGATGATTTATTGCATCTCACTTCCCTTAAGAGCACTCTGAGTGTCACATAATTAAATTAATAATTTAAGTTGCCTGATAACCTAGCAGCATTACAGTGAAGCGGAAACCTGGACACCATTTCTCTTGCTGTAAACTTTGCAAAGAGTAGTTCCACATTGCAAACTTCACAGTGTCCAGAGGATACTGCTGGAGTATCACTCAGTGAGAGAGAGACAGAGACAGAGAGAGAGACACAACAACACTATATATACAATATAGGAGAGGGGGAAAAATCCTTTCAAGTTTTTCTTGATCGTAAGACACTTGCATTGGGGCTGCTTTCAGCTGTGGAGTGACTGGCAACTCCGGAGCCAGTCAAGTCAGCTGTCGATCAAACTGTCGGAGCACAAAAGTCTGGTTCCAAAGCCTCCATGACTGTGCATGGTTAGCAGCACAAGACTACCAGGGGCCAACCACATTAAAGCGCTCGCTTCTCCTTCATTACCAGAGGGACACAATAGCGTTGCCTGCCAAAACCCCTGTGAATTCATATTCTATTCCAAATTACATGTACCTGCAGCCCAATGTGATACAATTACGAGTTGATTATGTGTAAATCAAATGATGACAGCCTGACTGTGTGGCTGTCTGGCATGTTGTCATTCTTTGGTAGCCAATCCACTTCCTCGGGAGAATGGTAATTGATTCCAGGCCCCCTGTGGGAATGCTGCTCCCCTCATCTTGCATGGCGCAGTTGCACAAGTATTCCCAACATGATCAATTTCAACGAGTGTAGACGTCCACATCGTTATTTCTCTACAAACTTTGACCTAGAACACTTTGAAGCTTGACATGAAAGGATATCATCTCCTGTTGCACAGTGAGAGAGAAATATAGGAGAAACATGTAATATAAATATATTGACATAAATGGATGCATGCATACCTTTTGACAGATTAATTGATTTTGAAAAGTGTTTTCATGTGCTATGTGCGTGTGATTTCTGCCTGTGTCTGTATATTTGTGACTTGTGCCAAATAGCTCACTTCTTGCTGAAGCCTCTTTGAAAAATTTATGAGATGTTGAACTATTGTGTTTGTGTGTGCACATCCTGATGTGTGTTTGTGTGTTTGCGTACTTCAAAGCGCATGTGTGCATGTTAACCTTTACTTTTTTGCTTTCTACCTAAAGCCCCAGCACTCAATGTGGCTTGTAAGTTATTTGGTCATGATAACTGCCTATTTTGTAGGCCTAAAACATCTAACATTCTCCTAAGAAGTGAAAAAATATATATAAATGACCAATAATTTAGATTATCTGAAACAAGTTCTAAACATCAGTTCAGTTTGCCCTCCAGCTTGGGGCTGTCTCACACACAGCTGCATGCCACAGCTGGAAAGAGAAGTTAGTCTGGGAAAGTTTTGATTCAAATTGTTTAAGACTTCCATTAGTATAAATACTAGTGTGAGTTTTAAACAAATTGTATCATGACAGACAACTTAAATGCATAAAATTTTGGGGAATTCTGACACTAAAAATGGTTTAAAGATTGGTCAACTTTTTACCCTGTTGCCAAATTTCATTCAAACATCTGATACTAAGACATACAATATAAGCAGAGACAGAAAATGAATAAGCGAGGGATTACACACATTGTGACCTGTGAGTATGGCAAAAAAAGGCATCTTGTGAGAGCACTCCAGTTACCAGTGTGAGAGCTATGAGTGTGCTTCATTGAGGATTAGGTCTTTCAGAATCACTTGTTCACAGATCTCTGCCAGTATTCCCAGTGAGACTGATTATCCGGGCCTGTCGCAGACACAGAGGATAATTACAGGGTCTCCCTTAGGTCACTGCTCTCTCCATGCCCCACGAATGGAAATACACTGCTGAGCGAGATGCCAAAGATGACTGGGAGGGAACACAGGTTACTGTCTCACACCCACATACACAAAAACTACACACAAACAATTTTCTTACTCTCTTGTTGCTACTGTTTTTGTCTCTCTACATTTCTACAACTCTCACATTTCTCTTCTTGTCTCTTTACCCGCTATATCAGGTATTCCTCTCTGTCTCAGACATGTTCTCAGTCAGTTAAGCTGGCACCCCCTCCCCCTTTCAGATGCTCCCATTGTCCACATTACTCCCATTTCCCCTTTTCACCCTACACTTTTGTTTCACATCTCCTGTATCAGCTCTACCTCTCCCCCTAGTGGCGTATTTATAAGTGACACTGTCGAAACTTTGGACACTAATGCAGCACAAACTCATCTTCCATGCAGTTGACAGAAGTATTTTCCATTGCTGTTGGTGGGCAACTGAGATGTACAAAAGATTGGGGTGAAAAAGAATGAGATAGGGATGGAAACTTCACAAGGACAAAGAGACACTGGAAGAAATCTTAGACCTCCACTTGTCCCAAAGCCCCTCCTGGAACATAACACCAAAGTCCCCTTTCCTTCCAAAATAAATCTGCCTGCACTCTGAATTCTTAAAAAAGGTTGAAAACGATGACTAAACAAATCCTGAATTCCTAACTAGGTTCTGTTTTCAAGATATACATTGTCATTGTATTCTTGAGGCAGGTTTTAATACTTTTTAAAGTTTAAACAATTATTTTAGTTTCAACTTTCCAAGCTACTGTTGCTGGTGGCCAAAGGGATCGCATCATTCAGTCACTGTTGTTTTCTTCACCATTGCACTAGTGATAGTGGCTCTCATGAATAAATGATACTCAGCCAGGTTGAGTCATAGGGTGTACATGTTCATAGGATAGGTCTGACCCAATACGTCTAGTCGTCAGAGAGAAATCTATGAAAACTAGCAGCAAATGAAAACAAGTGACACAGAGACAGAAGGAAAAAAAAAGGTGGGGAGTGGGGGGGTGGAAGAAAGAAAATAAAACTAAGACAAAGGAAAAGACACTGCAGTGCTTTACAGCTGTGTCACTTTGTTAAAAGAAAATGCATCCTACTCCATTTTTTGCTCTGTGAAGAGCTTCAGAGACATTAGCAGCATTTAGGATCACTTCAGAGCCAACGTTGTGCACCGTCCAGGACCCAACCCTCCCTTCACCCTCTCACTCTGTGTGGCTGCTTAATTATTGATGCTTATGTATTGCTGATTTCGGTCTTTGTGTTGTCCCCGGTGAATGCTCTAGTAAGGCGGATGGTGGTATTTATCTAACTCAGAAAGTAGGGCTCTATTCCTCATCCTGTCCACACACTGCCAGGCCATCCCAATGGATATGACCTCAGCACTGCCGTACTGAGATGACGTTCTCACACACGCAGGAGCATGTGTTTTCATTTACCACTGAAATTATATCCAGGGCTGAGGGCTACACATCAGTCTACAGTTCATGAGCCAGCAGTGTAAAAAAATGGCCAAGAAGTGGGCCATAATGCTGGAAATCCATGACAAAAATGCACACACTGACTTCTGACTGAAATATCAAATAAAGGCCATTTTTAAAATTTTGGTTTGTGTTATAAAACCATGTTTGAAATACTTCCCACTTGATATGTGATTTTAAATCCATCCATTCCTTACTTCACATTTACTTATTTAGAAAATGTTCGATGTATTACATGTTAGGTTGCATGATATATTTTATACATATTGTCTACAATACAAGTACAATATCCACAGAACTGCGGGAATAATTCTTGTGTTCTGATGAAGTGCAATGGTGCTCTCTTGTGGTGAAAATGCATCATTGCCGATTTTGAATTTCATTCCCAAATCAATACTACAGTACATACAGTAATAATTCTATACAGTACATGCTACTTCACAAATAAACATCAAAATGTCGATTTAATTGAAAAGATGTTTTTGGAGCGGTTTCAACACCTGCAACCTGCAATTAATTTAATTTTTTAAGCTGAGTGGCTCCTTCATTTCCTATGTGCACTGCATTTGTGACAACAGTGTTCATCTACAGCACATTCAAAAATCTGCCTTGAGTATACTTTCCTTTGTCACTTTTCTAGTGTGAACACACTACACTCTCAAAACCTGCTAAGAATCAATATGAAGTATGTTACCGGGACTCGTGAGTCTGTCTCAGTTACATACTGCATGATACTACATGTAGTATATACTATTTACTATTAATCTATATTAAATGTTTTATTCCAACATAAATTAAATATGTGTTGATGCATGTCAATAAAACTGCAGCTGTAGAATGTGACCACCCCCGACATTTTGTTAAAACAATGAGAAGCTCCTCTATTTCCTTTATGCATTGCAGGAATAATATAGTGTTAATCAACAGCACACTCTCACTTTGACTGTTTTAGTATATGTTGTTTTCTTGTGTGAACACACTACACAATCAAATCTTGTTTAGATTTAGTCTGCAATATGGATTTGGGTCACAGCTAGTGCGTATTTAAATTGTAAAAATGAATAACATGATAAATAAATAAATCTGTTGTGTATTAAGCAATGTTATGTGGTCTCCAATTGTCTAAAGTAGAGCTACTTTGAGGAAAAACACTCTTTGGTCATTTTATCCCACAGTCTTCCATTCTCAAATAGAAGATAAGACCTATAGGTCCTCCTGCTGTCTCAGAGCTGTTCAAAAGATCTTATCAAACAGATCTGGTTACACACAAGTAGCTCTAAGAAGGTGGAGGACATCCAAAAGCAATATTAGCAGTATTGACATCTTTAATGTGTGGCAAAGGTCTAATCCCAGAGGCCACGGCACTAATGGGGAAATATTGAGTGTTGCCAGAATAGAGGTTTTCTTCTAATCTGTCCATTATATGCTTTGGACAACCACTTTCACCAGAGATGAATGTACGGAGATGGATGGGAGATAATGTGATCAATTTTGATACAATAAAAGGGGTGATAACTCAAAGTCGGTCACACTCTCCGATGATTTGCTCATGCCTGATCGAGAGAATACTATTAAACTACGATCTGAGCCATTTCCTTTCACAGTCTCTCTTTCTATGGTTTGCTGAATCATCCAATCAATGTAACCCTTTTAGTCTTTCTCTATTTCATCCCTGACTTATTGCAGTACTTAAACAATATTTTGTGTCAGTCAGATTCAAATGTTTTTCCCTAAAACCTTACCGACAACCAACCATTTTCCATTCCTTCTCATATCAGAACACCTGAAAGAAAGCAGGAAGAGTAATTAGGATGTAGGACAGTGACCACCAGTCTCCACTGTTTAAGTCTGTACACATTGCTTCACACATTTGACTAAATAAAGGAACTGGCAGGATGTGAGAGACAGTGAGGGAATTGGGGAGCTGAAACTGGGCGATTGAAGAAGACGCATCCAGTTCTCTGATGCATAACTAAGACAACACTGTGAGTCTGTGATTTAGCAACACACAATGCTCTTCTTTAGCCCTGGGCTGTATCAGAGCTCCCTATCTCTCCTCCACATCCAGCCACATTGGGTCCACACATCAGCCCAGCCAGCCAGCGGATGGCACTGTAGCTGGTGATAACACATTGCATTGTTTCGGAGTTTGAAACATTGTTTGGCGACAGTGTTGTGCTGCAACTCCAACCAAAGCTGCTGCTGGGTGGGAAGAGGTGTGTGGAGTTTATATAAGAAGGGACAACTGTGGAGCTAAAAAAGTATTTTTGTTTTCATTTAGATGTGGTTTGTATTATTTCATTTTAAAGACATCTTACAAAATGTAAGGCTGCAACTAATGATTTTTAGTGCCTTTGATCTATCGGTTGTTCGTTCGATTAAAGAGGTCTTACTATGCTTTTTGGCCTTTTTCAAAGTCCACCCCAAATTGCCTGAAAACTTGCTTGTAGTCCAGCTTTTACTTCCATAACCTATCTGTGTTACTATGTAACACGTGTCATAATGCTCGCCTAGCGGCTAGTGAGTCACACCCTCAAAAACACTGGTGCAGAAACACACTGAGCTGCAGCACACACAGTGACAAAACCAAGCCTGCTTTAATGCACAGGCTTACTGGGGCTTAAGCCCCAAGGCCTATGAAGACAATGGGGCCTATCATAAGCCAATAAATAATCACATTTACATTTATTCATTTAGCTGACACTTTTATCCAAAGCGACTTGCAGCTGCTATTTATGTCAGAGGTTGCACACCTCTGGAGCAACTAGGGATTAAGTGTCTTGCTCAGGGACACATTGGTGGATGTGTTACAGTGGGAATTGTACCCAGGTCTCTCACACCAAAGGCACGCGTCTTATCCACTGCTCCATCACCACCCACCACACTGTTTTGTAGTTTGTCGAATTTTCTGTCCATCACTTGATATTCATGTTTTTGGCTGCTGACTGATCCAATTTACAAGTGACCCACGTGGGAAGCATGATACGACAGCCAATCAGAATGTCAGGGGTTTTCCTGCACATAGAAATTTTTGCTGCCCCCCAAAGAGGTTTTAGCATGCGCCAAAGGAAAATCACCAGTGCCAAAATGATCAAAATTGGGAAAAAAAACGTTTCAAATCCTCTCTGAATGTTTTTTAATAGTAATTTATCAAACAGCTGTTTAGCAAGCAAAACATAAACTTAAATACGACATCTTGTCTTCCAGCAGTCATCTCTTCTCTCATCCACAGACACTGTATTTTACACATGCAACTCGCGCTGGATTAATAAACCAGCTGCTGTGTTCGTTTGGCTGCATCTGAACGCTCTGCCATAAAGCTCAAGCTTATGGTAGACATGAATTCCTGTTGTTTCTCACAATATACAAGCTGTTTGTGCTTGAACTGAACTTTTTACCATTGCTTTTAATTAAATATTTACACGGTGAGAAATGAGTAGGTAATTGAGTGAAAAGATAATGAGAGTGAGATTGAACAAGAATGAAGGAAGTGGTCTTAAATCTCACGCCTGAGTGATTTGCAGGAACCTCTATCCACCTGTAAACGCGCAGGTGGGTCCAAAGTATAACTGGATCAAAGTGGACATGTCCTGGTTTCTCTGTAGTGTCCGAGGGTTTTTGGAGTTTCAGTGGACCCAAAGATTTCTATGGACCCGAGTACAGACTAGCTAGAGAGAGTAGATTAAATGTACTTCTCTGTTTATTTTCCATTTAACTCTTTTAACCCTGATTGTACACTGCACTGTAACTTGTATTTTTTCAATTTTCCTATGTTGCTTTTAAACTTTTTTATATTTCCCTGTTGCTGTAATGTTTTATGTAAAGCACTTTGAATTACCTTGTTGTTGAAATGTGCTATACAAATAAACTTGCCTTGCCATGCCTTGCTGTCGATTTATGCTACCAATCGAGATGTGCTACTTAGCGGTTCTGACCCACTAGCGTGGTCTGTTTCCACGCCCATAAATCTGTGCAACCTTGCTGTTAGTGGCTGATCATCAGCAATATCAAAAACATAAATCATTATTAGTCTGGGAGCATTATTTGAAAGGGGATATTAGTCTATCCGAATATGCTACCCCTGATATCTTAAATAAAGATGGCATAATATAGTATTTCACCATGCTCCCCATCTCCTTACGGTACACACGAGTAGTGGTGCAATATAAAATGATTTTGTAGTGGGAGCATTATTTGATAGGGGACATTAGATTTTAGGGGATTATCAGAATACGCTACCCCTGAAATGATGTTATAATATAACCAAAAATAGAAGATTTCATAATATTGTGAGAGTTATAAATTGATGGGATTGGAAAAGGGAACACATTAAGTAGCATTTTTCAATAGGGCAGAGCAACTCGATAGACTCTACTATCGATTTGCACTATAGTAGCATTTTTCGACAAGGCAGCATATCGGCAGAACACCAGTATCCACCGGTACTGTCACTTTTTACTCTTTGGCATACTGGCATCGGTACTCTCCTCTCCGGATCAGGTTTTCTGGGCACTACGTGACGCTCACCTTTTCCCGTTCTCGCCTGCCTGCTAATCTCTGCAGGGATTGGGTGCCTTTCATCACCCTCTTACGTAGTGGCTTGTCAAAATCACTTTTTGCGAACCAACCAATCACAGCCTGAAGTAGGTGGGACATTAAAAAAAGAGTGAGGCACTACAGCAAACTTTAGAAATGTTGAACTCTGTATGCACGTGTTACAGGCCTCAAGCATGAGTGACCTGTGAACAGATATTGGGTCCTGTTTTGTACAGGAAAAGCATACAGGAGATGTCTCTTGTGATGGATGAGCACGCTGTTCTCTGTCTTTATTTCTTCTTCATTTAAACCACTTTGACAATAATATTCAGGCATGTGATTGGCAAAGGGCAAAAAAGCAGGAAAATATACCCTCCCAGACCCCGATAAAACTGGCTGCAGCTCTATTATAACATGGATGGTAAAGCAGGACCCATGACAATAACTTATTTGGTGGATGTGTTGCAGTGGGAATCAAAGATAAGTGTCTAATCCACTGCGACATTGCAACATCTCTATAAAAATTATTATTTTGTATTAATTTTTTACCAAGCTTCAACAGCTAAATGTGCAACATGCAGCATGAAATAATTGATTCTATAACTATATAATATAACTACTAACTTTCAAATTAGCTCAGTAGAAGTTTATTATTTATTATTTTTAATGAATAAGAGACAGCAGCAAAGGTTGTCGCCTGTTTAAGACCTGGTGGCCTAATTCTTAAAGAACAGTTATATTATTCAGGAAACTCAGATCACACAGCAGATTGGCCTCTGTCTGTTGATAAACTGTAGGAAAAAGTTTGACATTTCAAATCTGACAGCGGGCAGGCGTGTGCATGAGACGAGAAGGCCCGACAGTTTCACGGGATCGCGCCATGGAATCGTGCCAGTTACACAGAAGCCGTTGCCATGGTTACCTCGCAGAGCGCTTATTTGCCTGTCTGTTGATGAGGCAGATCAAAGCCATCTGAAAAGGCCTTATAAACCCTTTCACAACAATTCACAAGAAATTAATTTATAACGTGCCAAAACCTTTAACATAAGGACGACTTAAAAAGCAACCACTCATACAGCAAATTACAGCCTATATAGCCCTATGTGATTGATTGTTATAACCTATAACAAGCAATAACCAAAACATACCCAATTTATCCGATCCTTATTGTCAACTCAGTGTTGGGCAAGTTACTCATAAATAATATAACTATTACCAACTAGTTACTTAGCATATACTGAAAAAGTAATATTAGCTACTCTACTTATTACTGGGTACTGGGATATAACGCAACTCTCTCCCGATGAGTCCAAGCATCACTCTCAGTAACGGCCGATGTTCTGACGATATGCTGCCTTGTCAAAAAATGCTACCGTAGCGCAAATCGAGAGCAGAGTCTATCGAGTCACTCTGCCCTATCGAAAAATTCTACCTTATGTGTTCCCGTTTCCAATCCCATAAAGTTATAACTCTCCCAGTATTATGACACAGGGCTCGACAATAACGGTAGCCCAATGGCCCGGGGCCAGTAAAGCGTAACGTCGGGACAGTTGAACTAGCAACTCACTGGCCAACATTAGTGTTTATTAAAAAATAAATAAATAAATGAAACTCAACATCCTGCAGTTGTTTTGCAGCTCTTGGTGATGTCCAATCCAGAGTTGTATTTACGTGACGAGAGGTTGTCAAATGTTATTTCTCTAATCTCAATCATGCGGCAACCTCTGGGTCGAAAGTGAAACCATGCAGACGGAACGTAAAGCTGCAAATCTCTATTCCACCTCAGGTCCATTAGAAATAATGGTAAATGCTACTTCTCAGCTGATTTATTACTTCAGTAAACACTTTTAAATGAGTTTATAGTCTCAGTCGCTAGTTTCAAGTCTTCTTCAACACAGCATGATGTTCATTTAGTATATTGTGGTCCTATTTAGGGGAAAACAGACGATAATGCAGCGTATGCTTTTGGACGGGACTACCTTGTGATTGACACATCATGTTTGAGTCTGTTAGTATGTTTTGTTTAGTAAATTGTTTTGTTAACCTTTTCTTCGGGCCAGTAAGTTTCAAACCAAGTGGCCCTATGGGGCCAGTTGCAAAAAAGTTTAATATTGAGCCCTGTGACATCTTCTGTTTTTACATTACATTGTAACATCATTTCAGGGGTAGCATATTCTGCTAGACTAATATCCCCTATCAAATAATGCTCCCACTACAGAATCATTTTATATTGCACCACTACTCACT